GCGGCTCAGGTGGTGGGAGGGGCCTGCACAGTCAATCGATCCTTGTTGCTTCTTCCGTGCAGCTAACTAAGAATCAAAATTTAGCACCTACATTTCAAAATCGGAATGGTTCCACTCGATTCTTGGTCATCGACAGCCAACCCTTGTCATGCAGCGCCGTTTAGCCACACCCCCAGAAATCAGGAAAACTGAAATGGTGAAAATAGTTTCATGTGATTTCTCAGCCTTTGCACATGTTTTCATCAATTATCTTCAAACTTGTATAATGTATTTTGAAACAAATATAAGATTTCAAGGGCAGCCCGGTGATCGAGTGGTTAGCGCGTCGACCTCATAGTGCAACCTGGAATCTTCTGAAGTACGCCTTAGTTTTGGTCATTAACTGTGTGTCCGCAGTGCAGAAGTGCGGGGAGGACTCCATGGCTTCAATGGAATGTTGGTTTCCCTGCTAATGGGCGCATTCAACAGCGCCGGAGACTGGTACTGGTGGCTGCTGCTGCCCGTTTGTTTGGGCTCGGCCACAAGGCAAGACATACGCACATGGCAATATTATTTTTAAGACCTGACTTCAAACCCTAAACACAATTTAAAACTGGAATTTGAAACACTGATCCAAGTTTGAAACATTGTTTGAATATCATTATGTCCGTTTGATTGTCCACACATCTTCCCAGACAAGTGGTTTGTGCTGCAGCTGGCCGTGTGGGCCCTCCGAGGGGTGACGCGGGTGATTCTAGCCAACAACCCACTGAGTGGTGCCGTCATGCTGCTTGCACTCTACTGGGCCTCCCCCTGGCAAGGCCTGGTGGGAACGGTGGGCCTGCTGACCTCCACGCTCATCGCGGTCATCTTGGGACAAGACAGGTTGAAGCCACAACCGCTGACACACACACGCTTTTTTCAAGGATATTCCAGAAGTGGGCGTATGTTACATGCTGTAGGTACAAGTCGAGAAGAAATGCTCACATACACAGAACCTTGCCCAACACACTCATAAATAAGCAGGAACAAAAGCATCAACGCTTATTTACCGTATTTTCACATCCATACGGCGCACTATATTAAAAGGCGAAGTGCCCAGGTACGGGTGCTATTTCTGTATTCGACGCATACACCAGACGCAATGTATTATTGGATGGAGGCATGGTAAAATGTATGCTAGCTTATAAAATCCTAGCGTATGTTTTTAAAAAGACAGCGGGAGCAAAACTGAGTTTGGTTGTACACATGCTCACAAGGTGTGTGGACCAAGATCTGCTCAAAGCCATTCATGTCATTTAGTGGTGATTTATCAGACTGTAATCTTTCCCAAATTTACTTACTGAGGAGCTGCACAAAGTCCTTTATCATTTTAAAAAAAATACAAAACACCAAAAACATAATTTTACGTTTGGCACTAAGCGATCGTTTTTTTGCAAACAGAATTTTACATTTTGGCATTAAATGAGTTAAAAACATCTGATTCCATATTAAGTCAGAACACCCACTCCTGGAATCTTCTGAAGTACGCCTTAGTTTTGGTCATTAACTGTGTGTCCGCAGTGCAGAAGTGCGGGGAGGACTCCATGGCTTCAATGGAATGTTGGTTTCCCTGCTAATGGGCGCATTCAACAGCGCCGGAGATTGGTACTGGTGGTTGCTGCTGCCCGTTTGTTTGGGCTCGGCCACAAGGCAAGACATACGCACTTGTCAATATAATTTTTAAGACCTGACTTGAAACCCTAAACACAATTTAAAACTGGAATTTGAAACACTGATCCAAGTTTGAAACATTGTTTGAATATCATTATGTCCGTTTGATGTTGTTTCAAAAAATTGTATCAAAAGAGCTGATGGTGGCAGACCGATTCACCGGTCATAATCATCGCTCTATTTGTTTTCCTTTCCCCCCCACAGTGTTTTCTTCTTCAGTGGTCTCTCGCAAGTACTGGACCGCTGGGACTTGCCAGTTGCGGTCTTCCCCTTTAACATGGTCATCGTCCTCTACTTCCTATGCACCGGCCGAGATAACCCCTACTTCCCGCACCGTCTCGCCGTACCGCCGAGCACCGTGCCGCTCAACGCCACGGCGCTCAGTGCAACCGAGGTATCATTTCCAGTGTTTAATCTCCGAGTTAGGTTGCTCAGACCAGCTAATCAGGGAATGGGAAATCCAAACATGATTGGCGAGCTAGCCAGGCCGATGAGAAGACACTGTAAATGGGGCTGATTGAAGTAAAAAGTCACATTGCTTTTGTCGTTCTATCTTGCGGTACACAAGCCAGCATTACTAATTGACATAGAGTAGCAACAAACAGGGTTGAGATACGATTGGATAAAAATGTCACACATATGCACTGTTGATATCCTAAAATAGCATATGTTTTTCCCCTCTCTGCCTCCTTTTTAGCATCTATTTAGTATTCACGACCGTTTCTTCACATCCTTCCTATAGCTCCCCAATTCCCTTCGGAGGAATTCAAAGCATCTGAATTTCCCTTCTCAAATCTGTCCTCTCCATCACTTTATCACCACCTGCTGTCTTATCGCTCTCTCGCGCTCCAGTCCTCATTTTGCAGTTTCAAAGCGTTTTTCTGTTACGGGTTCCCCAACGTGAAATAATCGCCTCCGACCAGTCTTTTTTCATCCCGCTCTTACTCGCTCTCCGCTTTCCATCTCTCACTTCCATTTCCCGGTAGTCCTCGGCCAACAGAGATGATGATGACGTGGGTCCTATTTATATTTCATGTCTTCATCTTGCACTCTGCCTAAGATGGCAACTCAACAGCGGCACATGAAATCAAAACTGTATGGAGCAGAGTGGGGCTCGGGCAGCACGATTCCAGTGGTTGCAATTGATCAAAATGTGATGTTGTATACAAATTTGATGAAAAATAAAGCCAAGTAGCCCGTACAAAATGGCGATTCAAAATGCCCACCACGCCCTACTTAACAGTGATAATGGTAAAAAAACAAAATACCAATACTACGCCTGGAAAAATGTGACCTCATCATTGTTGTACTTACACATAACTATGGGGCGCTCTAAAATGGCCAATCCAGACCAAAGCCTCAGTCCACACGCTGGCTGGTGCACTCTCGGTCTACAACGAGGCACTCTAAATATATGACATCCTGATGATGTTCTCTGGCGAACAGGTGTTACAAGGTATCCCCCTCGGAGTGGGTCAGATCTTCGCCTGTGGCTCCCTGGGTCCCTCACTGCTCATCCTGGCCGGACTCTGCCTTTACTCCCCACTGCAGGCCATCCATGCGCTGCTGGGGTCTGCAATTGGAACACTGGCTGGTAAGTTTCAACCGCCAAAAGAAGAATCAGTGATAACTACAGGGAATGGACATGGCGTGTATATTTGGCATCCTGAGCTTGGATTTTCTTAAAGTGGGTTTTTCATTGCAGGTTTATTTGCCTGCTTGGCTGACACCCACGTCACTCACCGTGCCCTTCTTTAAAAGCCATACGTGCACACTCAAAAGTTACCAATCATAAAGTAGAAAGTGAGGATGGCAACTCCAAATGGAGAAATAAATACATAAATAATACCTACACCGATTATTATGTTTGAAAACACAAAAGAACTTTTTATCCGAATACTCAGTTAATTGCTGGCGGTTGCGTTAGTGAAAAGAGTGGATTGCCTCGCTCTGGTGCATCTGTGTCAACATAGCACCCCCCTGTGGATTTTGTTTCCTGTGGACACATGTCAGAGGGTCGACTTCGAGCTGAGGGGCCTTTAGGGACATCATTCAGGATTACCTCTCATACACACGACTGTGGAACTCACATGCTCGCTACTTAAGTGCTCTTTTACCACTGCTGAAATTCGTTTGCGCACCATTCTGGAATCTGTTTATCTTCTAAAATATGGCAGTGGTGTCTATGAGAGCATTCTCGTCGGGCATATCAGGGAGAAAAAATCTGTAGGGTGTGTATGAGAGCATTCTAGTAGAATGAAAAAAGGACATTTCATGAGTGTGAAAAAAAATCATGCACAGAACTAAAATACATTCATACACCGCACTGTTTTGTTTTTGCTCCAATACACTGCTGAAACGCTCTCATACTGTATGCTGTCCTACAAATTATTAAAATGCTCTCATTCATGCTACTGATTATTTTTCTTGTTGAAATGCATTACGGAATGCTCTCATACACATGATTCAAATGTCTCACGAATACAGATTTTGTTATGCTCCTGAAATGTTCTCATATAGTACTGAAAAGCTCTCACACACTACTGCTTTATTCCTCCATCATATGCACAGTCTCACTCCTGATTTTTTTTTTCTCAAATACTATACATGACTAAAATTCTTTCATTCACACAACTGAAATGCTTTCACTCATGAATGAATTTTTTTTTATTCATCAAGTAAAATTTCAGTCAGTGTCTGAAAGCATTTCGGTATCATATATGAGTGGGGGGAAAAAATCACGAGTGAATTTCCTGATGAAAAAAAAAAATCCTGTTGTAGTGTGTGAAATGGTGTCACCATGTGGCTCGTGTTAGTACTGACAATTGATCTGTGTGCGTTCCAGTGAGTTGTGACTATGAGTATGCGTGTTGATGCAGGGTTGTCCGTGGCAGTGCGCCACGAGTGCCTCTGTACGGGTCTGTCCGGCTTTAATGGCGCTCTGGGGTGCATGGCTGTGGGAGGACTTTTCTTCACATTCAACTGGAGGACCCACCTGTTGGCCATCTCTAGCGGTAAGACACACATACAACACATAGACGCCACCGAGGGCTCGAACTTCCCAGAGGTGGCAAAAAAAAAAGGTTCTGCTGAGGCCTTCATGAGCGATGTGTTCTCCTCAGCGTTCCTCTCTGCTTTCGTCGACATCGCTTTGAGCAATCTGCTGGGAGCTGTAAGTAGCCGTCACTGCATGCCAAGTTCATTTTGTGTCTTCACCCAAAAAATAGCACATTAATCAAAACAAACTCACACAAAAAAAAAAAAATACCAAGAACCTAATCACCCTGAAAACTGTCTCTCTCTCTCTCTCTCTCACACACACACACACACACACACACACACACCCACACACACACACACACACACCA